TGTATTTACCACGCACGAAAATGACATTCGAAACGCAAATATTGATAACCTGAAAAAAATGAATGTTACACTAAGAATTATACGAACCAAACAATATTCGCATTCATTAAATTAAATCCAGAGTTTAAGCTCGAATAATCCCTGGAAGAAGGAGAATGAGCCAGAAATGTTATGAACGAATAACAAGCGAATTAATCGTACTGAATATCACGTTTGTACGAAGTTCACCAGGAATTAATTGGAATGTAACCTCGTATCCCCGAATTTACTTCGTAACCCAATTAAATCCTTGCCCGTTTCACGTTACGTTATTGCGTTGAAAGAATATTACAGCCAATTATATTCGTTATGAAGCTCAATGATTTTATTAACCCGGAAAATAATATCTCCGTTCGTGCGCTGCGTGCGCGGCGCATCATTTAAACCATCCGAAACTCCCCAACAGTATCGCCATTGTTGCGTGTTGCAAGTGAAAACAATGAACGAACGCACGGGAACATACAAAACGCGAAAAGTTTCGGCGATGGTTGATGGTCGAGATGGTATACGCGAGTTTTTGGGATTCTCTGTTCCGCAGCCGGTGAAAGGTCGCGAAAATTCGGGAGGGATTCGCGTCGATTACTAGCAAACACTCCAGTGCGCACTCGATGTATCAAAAACAATTGTTGCCGACCGTTGGAAATTTAATAGGCCAGGCGAAATCATTGTATAAATGAGTACGTGAACTCAACGTGGATACGGAGCACAAGTGTTGTGAAATTTCCATCAAGTTCACTCGAAACGTTCGCCCTCCCCCTCCTCTCCTAAGAATATTATTCCGTGTTCGGCAAAACGGAGCCGACCACAAATTGAAATCGATACACCGCTGTTCGAAAGCTTTTCAACGTGAAGAATTATAGGATAGCGGATTACTCATACGGAATGAGGCTTGATTAGAATCTGAACGATGCGGATCAACGGAATGCGCTCGGTATTATCATCGATAAGACATTTCCACAGGGAATGTTTGAGTTTGCTACGGGAATATTGGTCAAGTTTAACCCCTTGTCTTATGATATCGGGTTTAGCTTGTCGCGAAGGTTTCGAATAGAAGCTGATAGATATTGAAATAGCTCACTTTTCTTTCGGATAAAATGAGATACTATTTTTCGGTCGTCAATGTTTCAGCGTAAGTTAAACTTTTTTGTTGAATTATTCATGTTAACCTCTTGCCGTACCATTTAGCCGGGTAAAATACGAGCCATAATTATGGCGACCGATATCTCGTTCGTGTTGTCATCTCGAGTCAGACTCGTGATATTTATGTTCGGTTCGAAATTTTTGTCACGAATCTGATTCGATATTGTATGTCAAGTTAAAGTATCTGTAATCAAGAAAATTTCGAAATAAGTTTTAAGAGGCTAGGCTACGTTGAATATATGAAATTTAGAATATTCTTTTGAATGTTTATGTAAAGATATTTATCTACTTTGCCTTCTTTTTATAAAATATCTGTACTGAACTCTTCTTAATGCAACACTAATTCGAAAAAAAACAAATATTTCTAATCCCTATATAACGTTTACAGTACATAGAATTTTTTAAAAAATGCCACCTTTTTCAAAGGTTTAATTTTCAATAGAATAATTCACTAAAGAAAATGTTTTAAATATTCATTATTTCCTCACAATGTCCTCGCTATTCCTCGACAAAGGCGTACATTAACGAGACGTCGCAAGAATTTTTCGGAAAGAGCGCCACTTACCCCTGAAAGCCTTGAACACGAGAATTACGAGAAGATCGATGCGTTGCTAACAGTAACCAGCGCGTATCAGCCGCCAACATTGTTTTCAAATAAAATCTATTACCAGAGGCTTCCGCGGAAGGTGTGCATGACTGAGGAAAAAGCCAATAAATCAGTGGAAGAGGGGATGAATCGCGGCAATCCATGTTCCCAAAGTTTATGATGAAATATGATTTACGAGAACGGCGCGTGGGCGTTGGATGACGTATTCTTTGATCAGCCTTCCGTAGAAATACGAGTTGCGTAATATTTCACTCAATTTTCAGATGGCAGTACGCTCAGCTGCGTGCAATAAAGTATAGGGCACGTGACAGACGAGCTTTATGGTAATGGCGATCTTTAGATAGAGAGGGTGGTGCTGGAGTGTCGTCATCGTCGCTCTGTTGTGTTCTGTTGCCTTTTTTTTCCCCCTCTATTCCCGAACTTCCGTTGCCTCGTGAGCTTTTTTTTCGCGGTTTACATCCAAACGATGAATTACACGCATTTCCGTGACGCGCACATGTGACCGCGCGCTGCATCGTATTTCGCTCTCGCTCATTGACTGAGAGAACAATCGCGAGTATCGCGCGCGGAAGCTATCATCCATCGACATAATGGGAAGCGTTAGTTGTTCGAGCGCGACGTTTTTTCAAATATAGAACACGTTTAACGGTTGCAACGGCTTTCTCATTTTTTTCCCCCGATGTCCCGCGCGGCGACTTTCCCGTTTTCTTCGTTTCGTCGAGATGCAATTTTTCATTATAATTAAGTTACATCCAGTCTGAGAATCTTGTGTTATTATTCTTTTTATCTCTTCCGAATTTTGCAAAACGATTTAAGTGGAAAAGGATTTTTAAATGTCGAAGAAGTAATTCGTGATATATCACTGTACGAAAAATATTCAAATTTCTTATTATTATTTCATAAATAACGATCGAAAATATGTAGTTCAAGGTGAGCACAAAATGTTTGCGAAAATTGAATTTGTAGGCGATACATTGAAATACATTGCGATAAATTGGGACTGGACTCCCGCAGCAACCTAATATTATCAGTGCAGGTATTCCGCTGTCTGTTTATTACTCCCTCGAGCCGGTCGGTTAAACACCAGACTATAAGATTGTACAGAACGTAAAACCGTATTTCGTATTCCTTTGTTTCTTGGACTGCTTAATTTATGTAAACTGAGACCTGCTCTATAAACTTTTTCATTACTCGAAAGGGAGTTGTTTTGCACTAATTAATGTAACAAGATGAAATTATTTTAGACGCGATGAAAGTAACAAAATGGATTTATTTCGAATCGTTGATTTTAATACGGCATTGTTTCCGAATATTTATTGTTTAAACTGTTTACGCTGGTAGAAACGGTTAGGTATTAATTAAGAAACAAGTAAACTGATATCTGTATGCAGTAGGAAGTAAACTATTTTTATTCGATATCTGTTAATTGCGTGAAAATACTTTTCTTTCAATTTCAACGGTGAAAATTCTTTTTTCTGTGATTCAATATGATTTCTTACGAGTATACACAATTTTATGCACCATAGTGCAGCAGTAAATATTTTAAAGAAGTAAATACATGTGATGGAAGACTGATAAGAATATTCGACGATACATAAATTAAAGTTTAATTTATTAAAGTGTATCTTGCATTTCAACTTCTTTGAAAAATGTGAGAACTTTTGCTCAGCCCAGCATTTCACAGTTGTTACATAAATAATTCCTGCCTCGCAGAAATTAAAGGGGTATTTAAAATTTATTAATGGGTAATTGTGGAGCTATTGTAATTTTAAAAATGAGGGAATTGAAAGTCGTGTCTCCATTGTAGAAGGAATACTTAATGTGCAAAGGGTGAACTCCGTAAAGACGATGTGTCCCGGCTGTATAGTGCTCGCAATCGCAACTTCCAGAAGCAAAAACGATATTTCAGCGTAATGGGTCTCGGTAGTTGCTTCACGGTTAACAGGTTCTTGGAACAATAATAAAATATCCCCATTGTACCGGCAAAGTATGCACAATTAGTATAAAATGTATCGTAAATTTTATTAAGTGTACTTACTGACACACGTAGTACTTCGCATTTTCAACTGCATTAAGGATATAAATATCAATGATTCTTGTTAGAAAAATTCCAGCTTTCCCTTAGAAGCTACGAATTTCATTTTATTCATTTAAAAATTCATTTATTGCTTCCAGTACTTTCCATTCCCTTCGCATGCGAATTATTAATTGTAAGTTTACGTAGAATCGTTGTAGGTTATTTTAATAAAATATTTGAAAAAGTCTTTACTTGGAAATTTTAATCGTATTTTTCTTGTATTCGATTATTCGAAGTAAAATAATAACAAATCATAATGATTGAAACACGTAGAACATCTCAATATTACAAATATTAAAAAGAGAAGCTTGAAAAATACCGTCATCTTAAGAACTTATCTAATTTCAATCAATACCTAACCTAATAATCGCAAAATATCAAACAGCCATGTTTTCTTATTCTTAATATTAAAAATTCACTAAATATACACAAACTTCTATGACCACCTGAATGTATGACATTTTAATTATACTATATATACTTTACCCTTTATGCACAAATAATTTCTCCATTGATCACATTAACCCCTTGTCCTATCATTTCTTTCACAGCAATACCTATTTTATGAAACTACTTCCTCGTTAATAATTTATTAGGAAAAGAAAAGAATTTGATACTTATCCTATGTCTACGTCAACTCTAAAGGTCATAGTTATTAATAATAGAAAAGTCATTTTTAATTTACACAACAACAACAAATGTTTTAAACAACATTTAAACTCGTCAAGTTCAGTTTCCAAATGTTCATCGCGAATCTGAAGCTACATCATTGAGCAAGGGGTTAACAATTTTAACCGCACGCCATAATATTCCAGAATATGTGCATTGTTCAGGAAATGAGCCCCAGGACGGCACAGGTGCAAGAGGCGTCTTTCGCTCCGTGTTTCGTTTATGATTTTGATTACTTACGCGTAACCGCATTGATGAAAAGCAAATTAGTATCGAAACTCGGATAAGAAAATATAAAAGCAGACCAAACTTACGCGATGTGCCGTTAAAATACTAAACAATAAGAGCCGTTTTTTGCCCCGTGCTGTAACGATCTTAAGCCTCTGCATGTGTCGACTCTATGAAGCCGTGACGGCTCAACACTACAAATACGATCGTTTCATGGAACATAACAAATTTCGGTTACAGGATGTACCCCCCACTTTCCATCGGCCCCAGTCCAGGCTGGGATACGAGGAGCGTCCCCAATCTCGTGTGGGATATACCTCGGATTCCAGGTGCGCCAGTGGACTCGGGTACGACGACACTGGCGGGGGTTACCTTGACCAAAGTGATCCGAGGATGTATTGTACCAGTGGTTATTGCATGGGGGATACCATGATGGCCAACAGCAGAGGTGTCTGCGGCGAGGAGGTCGAGCTAGACATGCGGAGGCACATTCAGGCATGCGCCTGCACCTGCAACCACATGGGCTACGGGAATTACATGGACTATCAGGTAAATTGCCTTTATAATTGATTCGACCTTTTTCGAACTGCCGGCCCGGAGGGCCGGGCCGAGGACTCGCGGCAATAGCATTGACACGCTGACAGAGTAGCCGGCGCGTATCGAAATATCTCGTCGGCCGTCGCGTTTGCCGCCGGGATTATTTCTAGGGAAATGATGGTATGTCGCGGAGTGGAATGAAATTAACGTCCGCGCCCCTTGTTTTCGCGGGATTATCGCGTGACGAGAATTAAATTGTTTCGCCGACACGCGTTCGAATTAAACACCTGTGCGCCGAGGCGATTCGCTCGGAATCCGACAGAGGTGGAACGACGAACGATTCTTGTCTTCATTTGTATTAATCCCTTGCTTCATGATTTCGTAAGTATTTTCTTTGGAGTTTCATTATGTTTGTTGATTAACTGATTAAAGATAGAATTCCAGGTTGATTACAAAGAGTCAATGTTAGCGAGAGAAGGATAATGTTTACGGTATAGAAATATACAATATTTATTCAGTTTTGCTTCACTGCACGCATTAGTAACGTGTTTGATGCACTTTACGCCGATTATAAATACGTTTCGAATGTGTAACTTCATAATGCATCTACATGTTTCTTGCTAAAATGAATAATCTGTACTGCGAAAACTTCGAATTTTATTTGTCGAACGATTATATTAAACTTTCGTTACATTTGGTGACTTTCAGCGTTAACCCCTTGTTTTGTGATTTTAATGAGTTCGGAGTATACTTCATCGTCAATATTATGACCACCAGATGGGTCATCATGATGCATTTGAAAATCTCCAGTTGAGAATTTTTGAAATTATGAAGACGTTTTTGTTGAAAATTGTAGAATAAATTGATGTACTTGTACAATAGTATGAGATGCTTTGAATTTCAAGAAATGTGATCAATTTCATGCTTATTCTATGATCAAATTAAATTTAAAATATAAAAATTCATAATAACAAGACAATATTTAATTTAAATTTTATTGTATATTTGAATGGTATTTCTATTTGTTAAGTCCTATTTGAAATATTTGTAACGAGTCTAACATGACTGTAAGGCAAGGGGTTAATATGATATGTAGAACGAACCGACGCATATGAAAATAGTTTTCCTAACATTTTCAACTGAAATATCGCGAAACTTTCGTTATTCAGATAATTATAATGTGTCGTGACTACCGTCGAACGTTTTTACGGGAGCTGAATTCAATTGCTCTATTTGTAGAGTTTCTTCGAGCATGACGACGTGAGAGGAAATAACCTAATATAATTTTAAACGAACCTCTCTAGATTTGAATTTTATTTAAACCAATTAAAAATATTTTACACTCTTACCTTTTTTATTGAAATTTCAATATCGTTTACAATTAAATTACAGTTAATTAAATTATAAATTAAATTACAGTTAAAATAGATTTCTGACGTTACATTTCGAAAAATGATTTTTTTATTGATTAAAGAAAGAAACGAGACCTAAGAGGATTAAACAACCGAAGAACAATATAATTGTTTGTGTATGCCAGTCATTCTATACCCAACGAAATAGTTTTGCATTCGCTGTACGGGATTTTTTACAACTGAAAATATTTATCCGAAAAATAGTGAAATGTGTGATAGAGGGGTAAGTCCCCTCTTACTATTTTTGCATGTACCACCACATATTTCAATTTGTACGAAATCCCGGGGCTCAAGTACAAAAGTAATCGATTCGGTATGCAATAGTCCATGCGAAATATATTGACACTCACATTGGAAAAGTATCCACGAATATTTCAAAAAAACCTGTCCTACATAGAAATTAGAATATTTCAACTTTATTCCATATTTTCTTACGCATCAGATGGTTATAAAATATCCAACTGACACAAACGCGACAGTACGTCGCAATGCATTATTACGCAAGATATTTCCGAAATTGTGGCGAACAGAAGTGAATCCACGTAAAAAAACAAATTGCAAACATAGAATAAAATTTTCTCGTATTACTCTCCATGTCCAAAATAATCGATTTTGAGAATTGGACGGGCGTACATTGCTATCTAAATGAAGTAGAAAGTGCAATTCACAGTCAGACGAGTCAGCAAATTTCTGTTGTGCACGTGTGTCAAATTGCCGAATGTAATCGTCCCAAAAACAAAATATTATATTCTGATTCTTATAAAATAATGCAGGAAAATAGGAATATCCATAAAAATATCTACAGTTTATTTATTAGTTCTCTTCAGGGCACTACAACTGTTAATATAAAAATAATATTCGATTTGAATTTAAATACATTGAATGACATCATTATTTATTAAGTTCCGTTTGAATTCTTCGCCGCGAGTCTCGCACGACGATAAAAATAAAACCTCATTCTCACCGTGAACGTTGTAAACGCGACTTTACGAAGAATGTTTAACCGATAACGCGAGAAACTTAAAATGCACGAGTTCAGGACGAAATACTTTTCAGCCGAGTCGCGTTTATTAAAACACGATCCGGCCGTGGATCCGAAAATTGAAACTTTCACAATATCCGAAGGCTCCTTGACGGACGAAAATTTATAACGATGGTTCTGCCGCGTTTATGTCGCGAGCACGCCGCTTTTTGATTGTTTTCCCGACTGTCGAAAGTAAACCTTCCCTCATTAATGACGGGGGCGGGGGGGCGGGAGGCCATTATGAGAAAAGGTGGACCGTGTTCGCAGAAGCCTAGTTCGGCGAACACCGGTCGAGTGTCAAACTTTCGAACGTGTCCGAACTTCATCGAACGACGTCTTTTAAGTCCTTGACTCTGAAACTGAATTCTGAAGCAGCGACCCCGAACAATCCGACGGCGGCGCGTGCGGACGCCTACCGCTGACGTGTCTGAATGTTTCAAAGGGACGATGTGCCAAATCGACGTACGGAACCGTGTTACTTCCCGTCGAGTAATAAGGAAACTCGAGGTCGAACGGTTGCGAACTTACAAGCACCGGCAGTCTTATCAACAACTTGCTATATAACATCGTGGCAGGCTCCTGGCGAAGAAAACAGAATTTCACAAATATGTTCATTATAATATAGGTTTGCTGTGAAACCTAATAACCAATGGCTGGAAAGTAATATTTAATTTAATAGAACTACCTTCCTTTTTTTTAATATCTCCAATGCACTTTGCAATTTGCTCAGAATGGACATTTGATAAGTTTTAGAATCTGTAATAACGAGTTTTATTTCTTAAAGTTCAAATGAAATGAAATTGTTACATCTTTAATAGTGGAAACTTGTTACTGTAAAATATCGAATGGAAAATTAATGAAAATGTCTAAGAGTGGAACTACTAAAATTACTGGTTTCGATTTTTTTGGTTCGCGGTTATTGATGTCTTGAGAGCATTGAATATTCGAAATGATCTCAAAAATAGTTTCATTTGAATACTATGTTGAATGTCTAAGGAAACTTAAAATAATCTATTGTTACAATTTTTATAGGGATTATATATTAATCGTATTAAATGCTCCGCTAACATCAACAAATGCTGAGCTAACGTCATTCATGTTTTTCATGTTATTATATTCAGCATTCAGCAAAAGTTGTCCAAAATAACGAGTAAAAACTGACGAATAAATTCAATTTATTCATTAGCCGTGAATGTCGAATATAGCAATTACTCGTTATTCGCAAATAACAATCAGATTGAATTCATTCGTCATTTTAATCGTTATTTTGAATAAGCTTTTCCCAACACTGGAACAAACCTAGAAGTTTTGTCATTCTTCGAAAAATAGTAGTACTGATAATAGTGAAAAGAAATCAGATGGCAAGGGGTTAACGTTAAAACTACGTGATATAATTAAAACTTATTTAATACAATCTCTGCGATGTTTTCACCATCTGCAAATGCAGATTCCCGTGCTTCCATTTCTCCAGATATAAATTCGCTCGCGAAAACATGTTTTTGTCACTGATGGCATCGACCACCATGTTTGCTGCTCGAGGTGGGAAAAATTCATTTTCATCTGACTGCTTCCGCTACATCTTGGCTTATCTAACAAAAATGTTAATCAATAAATTGTTTTTCTGGCAATAGATTAGTTGACGTGAAAACTTGTTGCTAAATAATGTATGCTCTCATTTATGAAATTTATTCCCAAAACGGTGGTTCTAATGTAACCGTAAATAATGTCGTGTTCAAGTGAAATCACTTGAAGGAGTTTTTATTTGCAATTTTAATATCAGCAGACTGATATCAGCATGAATATTCAGCGGACATCTAAAAATTCATTAGATGCCTCGTATTTGAAAGGGCAGAGATGTTCTGGGCAACGTAAATATTTGTTCAATATTAGGATCGAATTCCGAAGATATACACTATCTGCCCAGAGTTTGGAATATCTCTGTGAACTGATGGAAATTGAGATATGCTTCCTAGTTCGAGAAATTAAAGTAATTATATGTACACATTTAATTCGTTAAAAGTACGGAATAAGAGTTTCAGTAACTGATACTAAAAATATTCACTTCAGAAGAAAATTCATTAGACCACTTAATTTTATCAAAAATTAATTAATGAATTCAAACTTTTGACCGAAAATCTTGTATCATTATCATCACAGAAGATGAGATTAATAACGAATGAACAATGAAAAAAATATTTAGGTTACTTAATGATAATATTATAATACAAAGAAATATTTTTACTTTTATATAATATTTCAAATTAGTGGATACAAATATAGTTATGTTCTCCAGTTATGTATGTTCTCTTCTTAAATTAACCCCATCACTGCAAACATTGACTTGACAGTTTTTTAAATGGACAAAATACAAATAAATATTTTTACAAAATATACATCTTTACATTTTATTCAAAAGACTGTCTATGGATACGAAAATTAGTTAGAACTAAACAAGATATAGTCTCAATTTAAACAAACAAGTTCTATTATATTTTACTTGATCGATTAAATCATTCATACTCCATCTTCTTTATTAAAACAAAAAGATTCCATAAGAAGAAATTCCATTCTATTAT